GCAGCCCAGGGGCACCGGGAGCAGCTTAGGTCTCTCGCCCCGGAGCTCGCATGCAGCAATCTGCCACCTTGACCTCCGGGGCGAGAAAGCCCCGTTCGTAAGTGCGGATCCGACGTAAGTCGGATCCGCGTAAGTCGGGGACTGCCTGTATACGACTTAGCGCTCGCTCCAGCATATATTTACATGATTAACTTCAAGGGTGAAAATACTTTCATGAAACTTCTTGATCTTAATAATTTAAGAGTTCACAGGATTAGTCTAATTTTTTTCTTGAAGTTCATCCCTTTGAGTTTAAATGGTTGCAGTTAGTGCAGAAGTTTGTTTATAAAGAGTATTCAGAAATGGATATAGACATGAATTTGAGATTATCCTTAAGTTTCTTACCATTATACTCTTCAGTTATGCAGTCATTGATGAATTTGCATTAGCATTTAGAAAAATTAACTTTCATTATCCTTTTAGAAATAAATTTGGAGGCTTTTGGTTTTTAAAAAATTCTAATTAGGTATTTTTGTAATGTTGCCACTATTCATTTTTTTAAATGATCTCATCTGCTTATAGGTCTTTCAATACATACTTTCCATGGAAATTTTTTTGTGCGTTCTACTGATTTGCTGTCACTTGCCAACGTCAATCCTGATGCTGGATTTGCAGTACAGATGTCCATTGAGGAAAGTCTAACAGACACGTCTCTGGTGTGTTTTCAGACTGCTCTTTTGTATACTTCCAGCAAAGGTAACTGGAAAAAAAACCCAGTAATTTATTGTGTTATTTCTCCTCAAAATAAATCCAGGGGATCTTTTAAACCAGCAGTATTTATTTTTATACTTAATTCTGTGACCTCTTCCTTCCCACTATTTCTTGAATTCTCTTTTCTATGTTTTTGCAGTTTTCTGTTTTATGGCAGTTCATCTTGAACTGAAATAAATGCTCTTAGCAGTTAATGGCTTATATAGAGGCCAATTGGTCATGTTCTTAATTGACCCATCAAATTCAGTATACATTTCTTTCTTGCTCAGACAATGCATTGTCTTACTACTAAAATAGCCTAATTAATACTTTTGACATTTTTATGCTAAGTTTCAAATGTCTTAATGGATCTGTATATATATAGGAACAAATCCTGCAAAGTCTCACACATGTGCTGAACTTCATGGTCTTCAACTCCCTACTTCTGTGTGTAGAGTTAAGCACACATGTGAGTCTTTTTAAGGTGGGGGTCATAAACTCTGTCGCAAATTAGATTTTTTTTTTCAAATTAAATCCAATTCAAGTAAAATAAAAGGTTATCTCAGGAAGTGACAGTTACTTTATAATTACAGTAATTCCTCACTTAACACGTGCCCGCATAACATGTTTTCGCGATAGCACAATTTTTTTTTTTTTAAGGAACATTTTTCAAACAACACGACCCCGTCCCTGCAATAACACAATTTCCCCTAGGGCTGGCCGGTGGCCGGCAGCTGTGCGAGGCTTCCCCTGTCTCCCTGCAAAGCGGCAGAGGTTTGCCGCTCACAGTGCCGTTCCCC